TCTCTTTGGATTTGAGACTTTAGTCTTTGCAACTTTACAGATCTTCTTTATGCACCAAGAGCTTGTAACACTTCAAAGAGAAAGGAAAAATTGAAATCGCATCATATGACCCCTTTAAATGAGCAAAGTGCAAGAGAGCAGCATTGGTTTACAGCCTGTGACCAGTTATTGCAGTCTGTGATGTTTGAGCATTTGCATTTGAGAGACATTTATTATGTACTGTAAAACATTATATTAAATTGTGTTTGTTTAATAGTGATCAAAAATCATTTATTAAATTGTGATTTTAAAAATCATAACTTTTTGGGTTGAAATATGGTTTGATCAGCATGTTATCCGTGTAGTAAAAGTTTGGTGGAAGGTCCAACTTCAAACAACAAAGTCTGTAAATACATCATATCATGTCATTTTAATCCTAATACAGTCTAAGTGATACAGGGTGTCTCATAAGATCCCTTTATTAAAATTTCTTGCTGCTAATTCATGTTTTAATATTAATTTTAGGGTATGGTTCCTCATCTATGGCTTTCAGCTAAGCAACGCACCTGGAAAGCTGGTGAGGGAACCGAAACCCAACCTAACCTAAAATGAATAAAGCTGAAAATATGAATAAAGCTGAAAAGTACATGAATGAATATTAGTAACTTTCTTCTTGGTTCTTTTTTGTTTTCAAACAGGCATGCCACGATACATCCCTAATTCAGGTAACTATAACTTTTATTAGACCCCATGGAGCACATTTGAGATATTAAAAAACAATAGCATTTCTATGACTTTCCAAAAGAGGAAAAAAAATTGAGAGAGAGATTGATTAGGGTCAAAAGAAAGAAAGATTTCAAATTTGAGTTAAATATTTGTCTGAAATTTTATGAATAAAACAAAGTATAGTGTTATAAGTGTGCATTTAAAAAATGAAGACTCAATATTTTTCTCTTTTTTTTCAGTCTGGAACTGGATTGTCAGTGCAGGAGGTAAGTTTATATCTTTTAAATTTGACCTTCCCCCCCAAAAACCCTTCACTCCAGCATTAACAAAGAAGTGTTAAATGCATCAGTCCTAATGCCCTCACGTCCTTCTTTCAAATAGCTGATGTAACTCTTGATCCCATGACCAACCAAGCTTGGCTGCAGCTCTCTGATGACCACAAGAAAGTTCAGGAGGGCTTAACAGAGGCCAATCTGCCTTACAGCCCTCAGCGTTTTGACAGCTTGCCCTGTGTCCTAGGCTGGGAGGGCTACATGAGTGGCCGCCATTACTGGGAAGTGGAATTTGCAAACAATGGTTATTGGAAAGTTGGAGTGACAACTGCTTCCTCAAAGAGGCATGGCCGCTTTCCAATGAATCCTTCTACTGGTTATTGGGTCCTGTGGCGCAGCACACGTCAATTTTTCGCATGCACCAATCCCGAAACAGCACTGCCACTGCTGCTGGTGCCCCAAAGGATGGGAATATACACTGATTACGAGGAGGGGCAGATTTCCTTCTACAATGCAGAGAACAAATCACACATCTACACCTTTACGGGACACTTTCGTGAGAAGCTGTACCCTTTCTTTGCCCTGCTTGATGGCAGGGGAGTTATAACTGTATGGTCTCCTAAAGAGCATAGCCGCTTTTAACAACAGAGCAGGTTTAAAAGATCATCTTTCATTCTTTGCCATATAAAGCCAAATAAAAATAGCGACCTTTCCATTTAGATCAATCAACACTGTTGTGGGCTGGACCTGCTCAATGAGAGCTATTAAAACTACAAAGTAAAGATTTCAATTATTTCCTCAAAATGATTGCTACACTTATGTATCTCTTTATTCATTTATATAATGATTATAAAAATGTATCTATGCTTGTCTACTTTCATGTATGCAAGTAACAGTATGTGTTTTGACACAAATATTTAATGCATGTTGTCTCTGTTCATCCTGCAACCATCAATAAGATAACTACACAATATTTATTGTATCACTGTTTATGTGTGAATAATGTCTATTCAAATGTTAATCTTTCTATTTTTATAGTAGCTCTGGCTGATTATACATATGTAGTCTATTAATAAAACATAAAATACAGGTCACCATATGTCTTCTTATTGCACTGCATGTTGTACTGAGAACACACCTATAATTTAAGTCAAACTGGATTTATTTGACAGTTCAGCTTTTATTAAAAAACTAGTCATTCTTAAAATATTTTTTATGTGCATTTGTGCTCAGACTGAACAGCAATGGGGTTAGAAAAGGACATTAAGCAAGGAGGTGGGCATCCTTTCTTTCTACATCTGTCCATAGAAGGCAGCTGGACAGAGTGAAAATCCTGTAAGTGATCTGTTGATAAAATATAGCCTCATCATTTGCGTTATATATCACTGGCAAAGACTCATGAGCCTTTGAAAAGCAATGCAAAGCATACTGTAAAATGAACGCTTCAGGTTTTCTTCAAAAAGAATCCCCCAAATTACTGAGAAAATGCTTGTTTTATTTTGTTAAAAAAAAATCTACACTCTCCCTACGAGCACGAGACCTGACCTATAGGATTGGGCAAACAGACTGTCAACACAGTGGTATAACCAATCAAATCCTCTCTTTAGCCGGGAGGGCGGGACATTTAGTGGAACGTGAAACTTATTGCCGCTGCTCATTAAAACGGTATATGTTCTTCATTGTTTTTGTACACAATTTATATTATCCGTCTTTGTAAATATGTTAATTGCATATTTGTTGTTATAATTACCATATCTTACCAAACGATTTTGCTTCTTTTAGACGCTAATAAAACCGATTGTGTCCAAAATGGAGCACAGGGAACGGAAAGAAACAGCACCGATATTCATGACAAGGTTTGTTGTTGTGACATTAATTCATTTTCGTTTGTTACGCTGGGTGGTGCTGATAGTGCACAACAAATACATAATGCCAACAACCACTACAATTAGCCTATTGTTACTACTGTAAATCCATAGTAAATTAATATGAAATCTCAATTAAACCATCTTAGAAACCTTCACAATCTTTTCAAAATCCAAATCCATTTTTATTACATTTGTGACTAATACTAAGTTACCACAATTCTATTGTAGTACCAATTAACTTATATGGTGTTCTGATGGAACCTATGATTGCCATGATACATTTTCCCAAGTTCAAGATACAAGCTCACAAGTTCAAGCTTATCTTATTTTTTAAATAATAAAAATTAAATAAGATGAAATAAAATGAAATAAAATTTCATGACAGTGATGCCACTGCTGTAGCAAGACTGTTTACCACTTTGAGTTTGTTCCTTTGCTTGGTTTAGACTTGGGTCACAGCTGAGAAAGCCACTTTACACAAGTAAGTAGATCCACGGGATAAAAAGCAAACTGTGTCATTGTTTCGTCTGCATGGTTCATCCTTATCTCACTGACATAAATGCTGCTGCTGCTCTCACACCTATTCACATCATCGCCATCTTCACATTTGTCTTCAGCTCCCTGAAGTGTGACCTTCCCCTAAAGCAGGGGGTGTCAAACTCATTTTAGGTTGATGGTTGGATCAGATAAAATGTCCCCTTGTGTGGGCCGAATTGTTAAACATTAGTTTGCTCGCAATAGCATTACTATTAACCCTACAAACTACAATATAATTTACAGGAAAACTAGGAAAACTGACCCCCCCCCCCTTAGTTTAAGTCTTTGGTTCTTTTAATTGTGATGATTTTTGGCTCACATTTAACAAAAACCCACCAATTCACTAAATCAAACAAATTAGAATATGGTGACATGCCAATCAGCTAATCAACTCAAAACACCTGCAAAGGTTTCCTGAGCCTTCAAAATGGTCTCTCAGTTTGGTTCACTAGGCTACACAATCATGGGGAAGACTGCTGATCTGACAGTTGTCCAGAAGACAATCATTGACACCCTTCACAAGGAGGGTAAGCCACAAACATTCACTGCCAAAGAAGCTGGCTGTTCACAGAGTGCTGTATCCAAGCATGTTAACAGAAAGTTGAGTGGAAGGAAAAAGTGTGGAAGAAAAAGATGCACAACCAACCGAGAGAACCGGAGCCTTATGAGGATTGTCAAGCAAAATCGATTCAAGAATTTGAGTGAACTTCACAAGGAATGGACTGAGGCACGACATTCTAATTTATTGAGATGCACCTGTATTATGGACTCTCAAGATGTTATTGTTTGTTTTTTTGCAAAGTGAGTAATATGTCATCTCGCACATCATTAAAACAACAATTATGATATTACAGTAGAAAACTTTTTCCATTCCACGTTTCAGTGCATCTCATATTGTCGTTTAATATTGCACTTTTACAACACGAAGCCAGCAGAAAAAACAATCCACACACGGTCAAATGCTTTTACAACACAAAATGGGTTGCGATTAAACATGCTGGTCGGCGTTGACCTCACAGAACAAATACCTTTCTTTCCATTTCTTCTGAAGTACAGTATCCGCCTTTCCAGGTTAACTTTCTTCTTTTGGACATGTTTAAAATCACAAGTAGCCTAACTTGCCACACAAGCATCAGTTACAATGCAGCTAACATCACTTATGTTCCGCTTTAAATTAAAAATAAAAGATTGTAGCGAATACACATTATGTAAATTTCAATAGAATGTTTTATTTATTTTATATTATCGTTCAAATCATAACGTGGGCGGGATTGTTTGGCCGTATTCGGGCTGTGTGTTTGACACCCCTGCTTTTAAGATTCCAGATGCACCTATTTAGTCCTGTTCCGCTTGTTTACAATTTCTATTCCTAAAATGCTGTCAATTATTTGTCTATCAACTGTTACTATCACGATCACAAAAATGTTCATTCATCCTGCTCTTGACATTTTATTCACCACTTGGTCAACATGCACATGTTATTAATCCAGTGGCAGATTGTAATGTTTAATTATAGAACTGTACTGATTGCATTGCTTGATATCTTGTCAAACATATATATTTCACCAACACTACAGCAGGTTGGGAAACTGGTGAGCACTGGAACCAGATCTTGAATCAAATCTGACTTTTCCTTGGAAAATTATTAGTTTTACCATCATAGGTGGGATGTTTGGTTCTATCTATCTATCTTTCTATCTATCTATCTATCTATCTATCTATCTATCTATCTATCCATATATACATATATATACATATATACAATAATCAAAAGAAAAGAAAAGAAAAGGGACTTTTGGGACCTTTATTTTGAAATCTGGATGTCGCGGTTGTATTGTGTTTCTCACTGCTCACGTGTGACAACGTTCAGATGATTCAAGTTTGCGCTGAATCAACAACACCAATGGACTTTAGACTGCGCGTGAAATAACGCCAAATTACTCTTAACACTACTGTGCCTATAACAGCTAAAATGGGAATATTATACAAAGACCTGAATGCGATTTCGAGATATCTGTTGTGCAAATCTAGACAGTTTTCAGTCAAGTTAACTTGATTATAAAGAGCATGTCGATGTAAAGAGCTGACCTTCAATGAACTGAGTCGTGTCGTTGTTTCATTTTCGCAAGCTGCTTAATCACTAATAATGTCTCTTGTGGAGTCTGACGAAAACACTCCGCTTCTCAGAGGCGATATTACAAGGTAAGTTTTGATAATTGCATTTGCAATGACGCAGTCTGGCAGGGCTGATGTTGTTTTCTGTTCTGAAATGATGTCTGAATTGAAAATATTTAGCTCGAGCAATCTAACAATGTTGCCTGTGGGTTATGTCACAAGGGCATTTCTGTCACTAATGCACAACATGATGATTAGTTCAAAATAGATTAAGTCATGCCAGTGTGAAAGTTTAGGTGTGAAGATATGAATGTTATATCATTCATGAGCTCCTGTCATAATACACGACACATAACATGCATAATGCATGCAATCATTGCAATTAAATAGGCTTAAGTGTATACCTATTAAGTGTAAACAAGCAAGAGCTATGATTGTTATTTATATATCCATGAATGTCTTTTCCTCTGTAAGTGGTGGGGATGCAGACAGAAGCCGCTGGAGGTCCATCAGGGTCATGTACTTCACCATGTTCCTTAGCAGCGTTGGTAAGAAACATGTTCTTACTCTCTCACACCCATATTCCTGCTTTGACTGTGTTACTGATCAGATTACAGTAAACACTGCTGTGCAGATGTATTGTGCTGTCTGGTTCAGTGAACAAGCATGCATCCAACATGCATTCATTTCAAAGCTGAAAACCTGCTGTAACCTGCAAGATGTTTGTGCAATATCAGGACACGCTGTGTTTAATTGTACACTGTGCAGTGTAATTCAACATTTTATGCCTTTAAACCTCATAAAAAATAGTAAAACGAGGGAATCTCTCTGTACAGCTGTTGCAATTACAATAGATAGATAAATTAATGTTAGTTGCATTGTTTGTATAGTATAAAGTGCATGCGTGTAATATGTATCACTGATTGCATTGTTTTTTTTTTCTTAGGTTTTACGATTGTCATTACTTCCATATGGCCCTATCTGAAGAAAGTAAGTGTATTTGCATTTACACACACTATATTACATAATACTTAGGCTATACATTTTGTAAGTTGATGCATTTCTTGGGAATCAAACTCGGGACCTTGGTGTTTCACAGCATCACGTTCTACTGCTTGATTT